GGGGGGGGGGAGGGGGAGTGGGAGGGCTAGTGAGAATTTTTGCAATGAACACACAAGTAAAATATATATGTATCACTTTCATTGATAGTCTTCGAAGTTGTGACGACAGCCAAAGGAAATGAAGATCATATAACTGTTCAGATATTATATGTACATCATGTCATGTCATAAAGGAAGCTTTTATAAAGAATAATAAAAAAGACATTTACTATTATTAACGTAAAGATAGAGAAATGTTTTTTTTTTTTTTATTTATCATGTAGGAGAAGGTGGGTTTAATTGTAATTTTCGATTATTCTAATCATTTTGGAAAGTGTTTTTAATATGATGTGTATTGCATTATTGTGTTATTCTTGTTCATGGCGAAGACTTTTCGTAGTAAGTAAAAAGATATGGCCTTGTCCACAGGTGCCGCAAAAAAGATGGACACTTGATACCAGTTTGAATGGTGGAGCAAAGGCTTAAGCTCGACCTAAGAAAAGTTCAGATAGCCCAGTGTAAATAGGTTCAGATATTTTGACATCCTGACCTTGGATGAATAATCGTCCGAGTCCTGACCGAAGCAAAAAATAAAAAATAAAAAATAAAAAATAGGTCGTTCGATTGTGGTCAAACGCTATATAAGCCACGGCATCGTGATGTTGTTTTTAACGGCATCTGCAGCACGTAGTTAACGATACCGCGCACTTTAGAGGAAGAAGTAGAGGAAGATCGAACGGAAGGTGTCACCAAAAATAATGACAGGTCTTTCTAAAATACGCTCACCACAATATGTTTCCTGTCTTCACTGATAAAACGAATGCAGCAAGTTTTTTTATGATCAACTCGCTCTATAAGGTCGAATTTAGAGCATGTTCACCTAGCTATTTATGTCATTTGATAAAGTTTCAACTGTAGGTTTGACAGTCAATCCTGGGCAATATACCTCTTGTTAAGGAACTCCGAATATAAGTATTTAAGTAAAAGGAAGTACAACTGCGGGTCCAGCTAAGTGGGGTGGGGGGGGGGGGGAGAGAGAGAGATTAAGATTTGGCCCTGCTCTGCACGAAATATTTAAACTAGTAGACGAGGACATTGTGCTATAATATGAGGGTTACAGGGCTTTTTTGGTTTTGGTTCGCCTCGTTTGCATTATTTATATTTTTTGTGTGTGTGATGGAGAAGGAAGAACCTTCGCCCCTGCATCTTCCATTGTCAATGATTTGATGAGTAACTGTGGCTAAAACGAATCTCTGGAATTTGGGAAGTTTTTCGACACGTTTTTATAAATGTTTTACTTGCCAACATTAAAGAAAATAACCACCTACACAAATTTTCATTTTGCTCCTTTAAATCGAAATTCAGTGTTAAGGACAAGTTTAGGAAATACTTTCCATTTTTCCTTTAAAGATTGTTTATCAAAAAGTAAAAAAAAAAATTAAACTTCTAAATCAAAAGACGTCCTATGGGAATGTGAGCAAACCAGTATCGCCTTCTTCTAGCTAATCTCAAAGGCATTTTGGTTTATGAANAAGGGGTTTATACAACAAATGAAATGCAATGCAGAAAAACTAAGGGGATGAATGCTAAAATTTTCTGATTGTTAAGAAAATCAATTTTCTTACTTTCATTCTCTCCTCTTCTTTTCTCTATTTTCAAACTTACCTCTTTGCTGAAAAGAGTTATAAAGAACATTCAAAGATACTTACGTAATCGGCTGTGGTATTGCAATAAAGAACTGGTAGGTTAGTGAATATACATGTGCATTGTTATTATTATAACACTTGAAAATGATCGATACTCAAATGTGTTTATGATTGATAACAGAAACTAGCTTCCTGAACATTTATGGGGCGATCTAAGGCTCTTGTCAATTTTTGGTCATCTGTTGCCCGAGTTTACAAGTGCATTTTTTGTTTTTGGCAAATTGGTTCATCTTAACGCTGATTATGATAAATCTTTTGCCATTATTACATCATTCACTAGTTTAGATTGATACCTTGGGTTTTACTCATTCATTATAGCATCTTCGACCTTTTGCAAGAGTACATTCCACACTCCCCTAAATCACCAATTACTTTCGATCTCTTCCATTTGATCGTCTCAAAATGAAATCGTCATTAATTATTTCATTAATGAAACTGGAGTTTTTTTATAATTTTTTTTTCAAGTGGCTGCTCAGCACGATCACCCGAGTGAGTGCACATTTCCAAGATTCGTCCAGAGTCCCATGACACAGGATGGCGATCTGATGCCCTGGATAACACAGAGACTGTGGAAGGCGGACGGCTCCCGGTGGATCACCCAAGTGGAACACAGAATTAACAAAAACACCATAGATTCTCTACGGCGAAACGAAGCAGACTGTTCGGATGGCATATGCATCAGCACGGCGGAGCTTTACACGAGAGTCTGTCTGCAAAGCCAACACCATAATAAATTCATTGTAAGAGAAACGAAGAAACAGCGCCCAGGGTAATTTCCATGCTTGTTCTGAGTTTGTGTGATTGTGTTAGAGAAGGTCTTATTTGAATGTGACAGAGATTCTTTTTAACAAAATTACTCTACTTGTGTGATGATTGACAAAACTGTTTGATTCTTGGTTGTGATCGTGTCCATAAAACTTAGAGAATTAAAATATTGTTAATTAAATGGTTTTTGTCGTTTTATATGATGTATCACAATTTTTTATAGGATTTAGATTTTTTTTATTTTTTTCAGAGTCAAAGAATATAAATGCATGCAGTTTATCAGACGGAGTGGTATAGTGGTACAAGTCCGGACAGGTAATACATGAAGTATATTGGGAATTCCCCTAGTGCTTTGATATTTAAAGATTGAAAAAAAAAATGAATAAGAAAATAAAACGAGATATATTTAACAGCGCCTGATAGAGTAAGCGTTCGTGTTTTGCCAACGTTTTAAACTGAATAATATTTTAATTGAACATTTCAGGAGTTGCGTGGTCGTCGATAGACCAAGTCAAATGCGACGATGATTCATTGTCCGTGGACGCCGATTATGACTGGCCGTGGCTTGGTTAGTATATTGTCTGAAATAGGAAAATAGTGTTTAATTGTTACTTAAGTAAATAGATACCTGCCTTCTTTTTTAATAGGACATAAAGGTGTGAATCATTGCAGGCCGCTATCCGTTTAGATTTGAACGTTAATTAGGAATCAATTGCGAGAACTTGAAAAGTCTATATGATTAGCACTCAGTTTACAAAATTTATAGGCAAGTTTAAAACTAATTGAAGAATATCTAGCTTAAGATTGATATGTGTACCAATCTATTTATGTAAAATATCAAAGAGAAGTCTGTGATACACTATGTAATCACTGAATCTCCTTGTTAGAGTATGATTACTATGTCGTAAAGGTGCTTCTTAGAATTGCTTCAGATCTTGCTCTAAGATTCAAACCTCATGTGCCTATTCTCCAGGGCCTAGACTGACGGAACAGTGGATAGAGTGCCCGCTCATTGGAGGGTTTGACTTCGTCACCACGGACATTGCTAAGAGACAGGTGAGATTTGGCGAGAATCTCGTTCTTCTCAGCCGAGTCCTTACGTATGGGTGTATTTCATGTGGTTGTAAAATCACACTCTCTGATTGTATTTGCACCTACCCGTGCATGTGTAGCACACAAGCTTGCACCAAGCACGCACAACATGTACATATGCATTTACTACACTTATAATCATTAATATGTACGTGTCCGTGGACAATATTTCTCTATATATAGGCCTACTGGTACGTAGTAGTATCATTTGAGACATCTGGTATTTAACAAAAGGTACATTGCATTGGCAGTAAAAAAAACTTATCCCTATTTAATTGACAACAATTTGTGGATCTCTGAAGTCATTACCGTTTCTAGAACTTACTTGTCCATAGGCATCGTTGAACAGAACTTTTCAATGAATGCATGGTGCCTATATATCTTTGACTCTTACAGAAATTGTGTCCGACACAATTCATTCCGTCCAGATTGGAGAGTGAATGCATTCAGGGAGAAGGGATGGACTTTATTTTCCCTACAGAAGAATGCAATCCTATATCCACCACGAAAGGTAAGAGTATAGTAGGCTATATATAGAATACATATTTCATTATTTATATTGGTTTCTTTATTTTTCTTCCCACAGTCATATCTAGTAAATATAGTGTCTACTAAATCTGATCCATTATGTGCAGGCATTTCACAGTGCATATAAGTGCCAGCAATTAACCAGAGACATATCTGTAAATATCTAGTGAAAAATCAACCTGTGATGATCCTGGTAGAGGGTAGATAAAATTTACTTATCTTTTACAGAGGAAAAGATACACTGTTATGCTAGTTGGGAGGACGAACACTGGATGTACCTTATCATGAGCCAGCCAAGGCAGTTACCGCCTAAATTTGCCATGGTAGGTCTGAAATGGGTGTCCTTTTATAATAGGAACAAATTCGTCTTAAGTCATTTTCACCATCATTTTCACAAGTCTTCAAACCGTACACGGTAGAAGGGGGGGGGGGGGAAGGGGTTAATGCCCTCTGTACGCTTTTGTAAATAATAAATATGATGATCCAAAAGTTCATCAATCATCATTTTAAGCTTTTCATCTTGTACTGTCTGAAGGGGGAGGGTCGGGGGTCTGGGAAAAGTCTACTCTTTGTAGACTTGTGAAAATGATGATAAAAATGGATGACCACTAAGTGTATTACCGTAGTTCACTTATGCAGCACTTAATAAATAAAAGTGAAACATTGCTACCTGAAGAACAAGTAGTCTTTTCAAATTACCCTATTTTCATTTTGACGTTATCGTCAGTAAATTACTAATCTTTATCTTTAATTTGTTAAAGATCCTGCTTACGATGAACATTTATGATAATGCTTTAAATTTCATTTATGTACATATAAATATCAATATTCACGTTCTGTTCTTAGACTTTTCCAAAGACCATAGGCGACGCGACCTTCACGGCGAACTTATACGTCGGTGCCGTAGCACCCATCGGATCCACTGGTGTCCCTCCACGCAATGTAACGCACCTGGAGATGTCGATGACCAGGACGTGTAAGATAACTTGAGAATATGATAACTTGTCTGTCACGGATGTTTTGGTAATTTGTAGTAAATGACTGGTTTGGTTTTCGTTTCGCCGATCCAATGTCAATTTAGGCTATATTTTTCAACAAACTTTGACAATTCTTTGGTATGCCGAAATGTGTTGATGCTTGATGGTGCAATTTGATGATTACATGATTCCTATCGAAATCATAAACACATTTGACTAAAATAAGAGGTCCATTTTATCTCGACGTAAACCCATTACATAAGATAACATTTATTTCTCTTTTGATAAAGTTATAAATGTTGTTTATTTTATAAAGCCGCCGAGTTGTGTTTCGACGTCAATCCAACGGACTGTCAAAATTTCAAATCTCTTGGAATGTGCTCTGACCCAAATTACAGTGAGCCTTGTAAGAAGAGTTGTAACCTGTGCGGTAAGTACCAACCCTTCGTGTACTCTATCTAATTTCATTTTATTTCACACTTTGTCTGACTTTATAAGATTCTGTTGGAGGCAAATAACGTCCCATCTCTCAAATAGAAACGCCAGTGGACACAGTTTTATAGAGAATATGCATGTAGGGCCTGTGTAGTTGACCGCATAATTTACCAGGCAAAAAGATTATGTTTATATCGTAATATAATTTCATACATCACCTAAAATGGAAGGAAAGGAAATAGTTTTTAGTCAACAGAAGGCGCGCTGTCTCACAAAATTAGATAAAGTGGGTATCAAGGCACGCTGGGACACGTTGTATTGTTACTCTTTTCAGACCGAGCTCCAAATCCAGCCCCTACCCAGAACCTAGCAGAAGACATTCGGGGTCAGTGGGTGCAACAGGAAGTCATTGAAAACTTTAACCTGAATATCAACCAAACACATGTCCATTCTCCTGAGCTGGGAACGTTCTCTTGTATCGGCAAGAAGTATGAAGGGCAAGAATATAAGATGGTTTCAACTTTTGGCAATGGATGGTAAGATATGTTTTTTTCTACTTCTTTTTATTTAACTTTATTTCTTTTTATTTTGGGGAGGGGGGGGGGATCAGATTTATGCCATACAGTGTTTTAGGGATAGTTAAACAGAACAGTAATAGGCCTACAAACAACAGCATACACATTTAAATGTAACCGAAGAGAGTCCTATTTTGTGACATAAAGGTAGACCTATTTGCTTCTGAGTAAAATCGTGTTTGGGGGTTTATAGTCGTATTTTTCGTCCATTTCCAGCCGTCCACGATACACGTGTATGTCCTTCAAGAGAGCTAACCCAAATGTCCTCAAGTATCGACTTTGTAAGTACAAACACTCTTTAAACCAGATTAGTTTAGAGTAGAAAGAATAGAACAGAATACTCTAATGTGACCAACTACACCACTGAAGCAGTAATTACTTTTCTTTTCGTATGTACGTAATAACTACGATAAAATGCTTTTACTTTTAAAAGTCTTTTAAAAATGTGTTATACTTGAAAAGAGAATTTACCAATTGTGCTAGGAGAAACTCATTTGAGATGATAGTGACTATAAAGCAAAGCGAAATACAAGAATAGCCTGTACATGTAAGGTTGCATTTTGTACTTTCAGCAAAAAGCGTCAGATCCGACGAACCACTAGAAACGATCTGCAGTTTTTCCAACGACCCTGCTCCCCTGAACGCACTAATCAGAAGTGCTTCTTTCAAAAATCTAGTCGGTAAGTTTTATCATCACAGTACCACAGTTTACAGAACATTGCAGGAAAAATGCCAACTGACAAGCCCCAAAGCGCCGTATTTGTGTCTGAAAAAAAAAAAAAAAAACGCTGTCTGTTGTTTAATGAGTTTTAAAGCTCTGTGACATTTTAAGATGACTCGAGCACTACCATATGTTTGATTCCATGCCCTGAATCCATGATCTAACATACTGTTGGAACCTAGCCTGAATAAAATAACTAAATAAAAAAGTTGTATTTCAAAACCTCCAAAAAGGATCCTGTAAACAGCACGGGGCAGTATGTTCAATTAGCAATGGTGTCAAAACAACTACCGTTTGTATTTCATCGTAGCTGCTGTGGAACGAGTTCCAGTTCCCTGTGGGTTGCCAGGCAAGACCCCCTTTGACGCCATGTTCAAAGGCCGGGGTGCGTCATGCACAGGACACGTAGGGGAGTACGACCAAACCACGTGCACGTCCAATGAGACTTCACTATGGCTGTTCTTGGACAAGAAAGGAGACTGTAGCGAGCCAAAAGGACTCGATCAAGGTTTGATTTACACCCCATTTCCATAGATTAGATCGACCTACTTTAGATCGACCTAACTCCCTGGGGGTTCACGCTAAATAGCTGTCAGCCGGGCGGACACGAAAGTTAATTATCCCCTTACAGCTTGTAGTAGGCGGGACGGACATTTAAGTCGGATTATCTGAAAGTAATCTAGTGAGACTCCCCGCGGGGATAGATCGATCTAAAATCTATGGGAATAGAACCTTAAACTTCAAATTATGAAATCGAGATAAAACACATTGTTGAAATGAACCAGAAACGTTTGATTTTTTTAAAAACTGAAAACAGAGCATAACATTTTGATAATTGGCAGTTGTTTTGATGGAAAAGAGCTAGAGAGCGTAATTTTTGTCTGGTTTCTTTAGGATTTACTTGTCTGGCACACCTAAAAGTGCCACAGAAAACAAGTGGAGATGATACTCTTATTATTACCGAGGACAAAAACAGAGCATTTAACCAAAGCAGATTTAGGTGCTGGGTAAGTTTCCGGTGTCTGTTATATTCACATAAAAAGAATGCTTTACTCTTTATTTCATCCTACAATGGGATAGCAATCTATCTATTAACCGATAACACTAAAAAATTAAGTAAGAGTTAGAGATGGTTTCTAAAAAAAAAAAAAAAAAAAAAAAAAAAAAAAAAAAAAAATAAAAAAAATTTTTTATAAAAAAATTTTCCCAAAAAAAAAAAAAAAAAAAAAAAATAAAAAAAAAAAAAAAAAAAAAAAAAAAAAAAAAAAAAAAAAAAAAAAAATTAGAAAGACTTTTTATGAAAAATATTGTGCCGCCATACGCATATTTAAATCAGTCTTCATATTTTTATATAAGATGGAAATTTCGATAGACCATTGAGTTCGCACTTTTGTTTGGAACCCGTGGCCATATACGATATACTTAAATACAAAATCCCCCATAGTTAAACTAACGGCAAATAAACAACCATTATAAATCAATCTGTTAAGTAGTTCAATACAAAGTAAACCAATTTCTTTTCTTTTGGCCATTTTTTCTAATCATCGGTTGCCTTTATGTGTTATCAGGTGTTAACGAACTATACAGGCTCTGGACCAACAGACAGAAAAGGACCAGTATTGTATCAAATGCCCTCTCCACAGTGTGACGAGGGAACGCGGAGAGATGTCACGATAAGTGACACACAGTCGGCATCATATTACCTAGATTTAGGTGAGTCTAACTCCAATTACTAGTACCTGTCGAATTTCCTAAATTCATTGATGAAGGAAATAAGAAAACAATCTTTTCTGCTACTAGATTTGGAAAATAACAAAAGATATTGGAAATAACAAAATATATTGGAAATACATGTATGAATTAAGGATAATTGGATAATTTGATTTGATGTATTATTTCATAGATGACATAGTCGATATTTAATAACACGATTTGCTAACAACTTGTTTTTTTTAAACAAAGTAGGATGAAAAGGCTTTGAAATTAATGTTTGAAAAACAGGGCAAAGGATTTTGTTCCGTGGTTGGTGTTTGTACATGCATGTACATCTGTTTTTAAGTCGCCATTTTGGTACCTTGAGGAAAAAAAATCCTTTAATAATTACGCGCATAACAGAAAAAAACAAAAACATAAACAAGTGTTGCGTTTCAAATACTTTTTCGGATTTCAGAAAACCGGTCAAATCCAACAAACCAATCATACTGCAAGACGGCTACTAAGGTCAACTCGAAAGGTGGAGCCACCAGCATAAGCCAGACGATGATTAGTCAAAGTTTCGTTTATTTAGTTTTAATATTGTTTCTACGCTGTTTTCATTAAAATGATGTAAAGATGGAAAGTAACATTTGATAAGTCCGTGTGCAGGGGAGTGAAATAAAGTTTACAGATATCGTCACGTACGAGAAAGTTTTGTACGGATAATTCTTGTACATGCAGTGAGTAACTGCTTAAGTAGGTAGCTTTAGAATTAGGGAGAAATGTGCGTGTGTGAACTAATTAAAATTCTTAATAGACAGATGTACCGTTTAATGTGTAAAATAGAAAGAAGTATGAGTCAGTTCTTCTTTTAACAAGCAAATAAACCTTTCTGTTCTTTAGAAATACTGGAATCGCCTGTACAGTATGTGTTTAAAGTTCATTCCAACATGTGTCAATTAAATCACCCAGCGAGCTTTATCACTGCTCATTTTTTAAAAAATTCTTTATATGGCCAATACTTAAGGTGAGGCTTGATTTGTTATGTCCTAAAAGTATGAACATTGTTAGTCCAGAATGCAACAAAAACAACTCTGGAACCGTGCGTGGTTCCACTCACGTGAATGTAGCAAGAATGTAGGTGCCAGAAGTGACAACATTCATCGGAGATTGATTAAGAAATAGAAGTGTATCTGTTATTTAACTGTGATGTAAATGCCCCATGCTCTCAACTGTCTAGAAGCGTTGTGTAATTTATGTTAACCGACTCCTTTACGATAGCCAATTCCAACTCCCAATGGACTTCAGGGTTGCCACCAACAAATGTGCAGGCATTGGTTATCATGTTATGTATAAATTAAGAACACATAAAAGGTGACCCACGGTTGAATCAAAACCAGGTTTAGGAACCAGGGTATTGTGATTACCTGATGAAAGTGAAATATCTACATGTGTCTTCCTTTTCGAAAACTCAAATCGTTCCTGAAATGCACCATTTGTCCTAATGTTTAGTGGCATTTCTCTGGCTTAAAGCAAAAATAGTCGGATTCATAAACGTTTGCAAAGATATGGTACTGGTAGATGTACACGAAACGACACAATGGAATAATTGTAAGACATTTGTTCCATATTTCAATGTGTATTGCCATGACAAATTTAGTAAAATCAACTGTGTCTATAAAACAGTGGATGTCCGCCTATTTATTTATTTATATGTTATCGTTGCTAATGGACGCCCTTGTAATAACTTGCTGATTGTAAATATTTAGTAAGCATTTCATACTTACGGTGCTCGCTTATTATTGTTCATCATTTTATCTTCACAACGTTGTTTTACGTTTAGTTATGTAAACGTAACGTACACTGGTAAAATACCAACGGTTTTAATTTGGGCCAGCTTTAAAGTTAGATATACATGTGCAATGTAAGAAATATAAATGTATGCTCGTTATTATTAAGTCACTTATTACTCCGTTTTGTTCAGCAAACAACACGCATTAGAACCACCTTCTCGTTTATTTCTTGGTAGAGAAAATGTCAGCGGCAGTCCATCTGAACTAGGACTCAGTATTGAGTTCTAGATCTAAAGGAGATTTGTGGATCGATTGTCGGACAGTTGACTGTCTTTGAAATCAAATACTACCAAACTTGAGCTTACTGTAGCACCACTGCATAACTTTCAAATAACAAGTTGACACGGTCCAAGACAACCGCACAAATTTAATTTAAAGTATACACAAAATTGTGTTAGATTTATGTTATGTAAGACCACAACGTTTGTATCGTTGAGGGTGTTTTAAATGAAAATTTCACGTTTTATTGGAATATATTTACGTATAAGTGTCGTACACCACGTCGTTAAAAATGGACATGAACAGTAAATGAGAAATAACAAGAAAGAAAGAAATCGCCGCCAACGACGATTTGGTTCTTTGTACTACCTAATGGTTGCATGCAATACGGTGTATGAATTGAAAAGGTGCTATCACATCCAATAATGAAAGATTGACAAGGACAAAATGATGAGAAAAGTGTATATATTTTCTATCTTCGCCATTTAATACATTTAAGTAAATATTGTAAGTTGTGTTATAAACGTGTAATAAAATTTATGACATACTTATTAGGTTTATGTTTTTTTAAATCAAAGATGACCTTTAAATGCCAAACATAAAAGGTTTTTAATTGCCCTTTTTAGCAAGATTTTTTTTGCTGCTATTACCTACTACCCCAAAACCATACAAACGTTTTTACATAAATATTCATAAATATTGCTACCCTTGCATGGATGTATAATGTGACATTACATATCCTGAAAGACGTATATTATGTTCTTTTTTTTATTTCGTTACAAATTTGATTTTCCTTTTTTGCAACCAAACTCACTGAGGTAAAAAAAACCAACCGGTAACCATCTCTGAACAAAAAAGTTTTATGTGAACGCGAAAGGTAGCCAAAATTACGAAACAAAATTAATGGAGATCGGGACGTTAAGCGTTACAATCTGTGGAGCAACCGGATCGTTTTTCGCATTATGCATTCTTTTTTCAGATCACTCCGCATCTCTTTGGATGGTAGAGTTAGCCTTTAAGTGTCCATTCCACATGCGCTTGCCAAATCTGCAAAAATATTAAGAGAAAAAAAGGGTGATTAATCTGTTGTTCTTGCAATGTTCTCAACGGACAAAATGGCTGGGGAATATAAAACATTACATAAAATTTTGTCACGTTATGAAGTGGTCGTATGGCCTGTTTGTTACTGTATTATAATGATAATATCCCTTGCCGTTCAGTGTGCAAAATGCAATGTGTATTTTGGAGCCATTTTCAACCGACCAGTTTTTGTTTTGACGCCGAACGTGAAAGTCAAATTCAGTGCCGCATGCAAAAATACACGAAGTTCCGAATTACGATGAAGTATTTTCTGAGAATTACTCCAATATAGTGATGCAAGCGGGTCTCTTTGTATTCAAATATCAAGGAACTTAAAATAGAAAAACACTCAGCGCTAATTTTGGGAAGTTTAACTCAAATTACACATATGTTAAGAGCTTACTTTACTCTGCTTTCAACATCCAGTACCAGGCTGATGGTTCGCAGCAACTGTTTCAGTTGTCCCAGAGTACGTATCCCTTGCCGTTCAGTCTCCTCCTCTGCCATGATCCAACCAATCAGCAGAAAGGCCGTGAATGTCATGGAAATGAACGATTTGCCAGCAGCCATGCCAAACGTTTTTCCTGAAAATCAAAAGGTGTAAAACATTAATCCCCCTTTTTTCCCTTCCCCGTTCGAAATTCCCCAACCCTCGCTACACTATCCCAAAACTACCATTAGTGAATGAGGTATGAACGACTACAATTTTTTACCTCTCAAAGAGACAAAAAATCTCCAAAAATTTTCAGAAGAGAATTTTAGTTCTTACAAGGAATTGGTTTAAAAACACACCATGCTAATATCTCGGCCCAAAAAGGAAAGATGTCACTCGGAATATTTATATGTATCCCAAGAACAAAACGCTGGAGAACCTTGCAGAATATTAAGAAGCTGCAGTGCAACTTATTTTTCCCTGTTCTCAAAATTTCATAAAGGGTAGAGGTGTGGTTTAAAATAATACAGCTGACAGTAAGACAACAGACACTAAATACTATTTACGTAGGGTCTTGAAATAATAGCCAATCGGTTAACCTGGGAAGAATACTTGGAGGATAGACTTAAGCCTACATTTAGTAAAGTGTTTTGACCAAAAGACACAAATAAAATAAATATTGTCCAAGAGAGACAATTAGCAGGGGGCTAGGTGAATTCTGATAAAAATCAGCATCAACTTCGTTTTCTGTTCTCCTAACTTTGACCCAAAGCCAAAACTTTCGTGATTTTATATACCGTATTAAAATTCACACGTTTTGGTAAACCGTAATTTTGATTACCTACCTGAAAATTAAGTAAGAAACTGTTACCATTTGAGAACATCGACGAACAAAATAAATGTAGCTGTATAAAATGCAAGCTCGCAAACTCACGCGCAATACTTCTTTATTCAAGAACGCTTTTCCAAACTGCACTACAGAACTCATCCCCTAAACAACCTCATCTCTTGTTTATCACATCGGTCACTGGTGCACTCGCATCTTATTTTAAATATTTTTGACTCACCTTCTAGCAGCAGCAACCCAATGCAAGACCAGTTCTGAATCCCTCCAATTGTCTTGGTGTAACTTCTTGAGAATCTTGTGTGGTTTCGTAGAAGTATGTTCTCTACGCGGTGGTCTCCTAACTAGTCGGTGCTCAAAGAATACCAAAAGTTTTGTTCTTTCAAAGTAGCTGGATCTCAGATTTTAACGAAAACTTTGAAAAAGGTGTGCAGCCGTCTCTTTATAAAGGCAGTGTGGCATCAGTTATTTAATCAGTGTCTATTACTTTGACTTAATTGTTTTTTGTGATATCTCATATTTGTTCCGTTAGTAACTAGTAGTCCCGTTTTATTTCCTAATTTACGAGTATCTCATTTTTATCGAAAAGCCAGACAGCCACCTGATATCCCTCCTCCTTTGTCAACGTATTAAGAAGCATCGGCGTGTTGAGTTTAACAACGAATTTTATCGGCCTGGCTTCTGTGCGGCTGCAAGGGGACTTGCTGAATGCAATCAGACTGTTATGCCTTACTTTGTTTTTAATGTCCTCAAATAATCACCAGCTTTTCTGTACTCTACTCAACGCCAGGGGGCATGTTAATCTGACTGTGTTCAGCGAGAGTTAGTGGGCATCAGCTAAAATTCATTGCGAACGGTCCCATAGGCAAACGCAAGTTAGAAATGGTCTTCAGTTTTCGCTCCCACTCCATGTCAAACGCCTCAGCCCCCCCCCCCCCACCACACACACACACACACATAGGCCTACTGGTATGCATATGCATAAACAAACGCACACGTTTCCTCCCAAATACATGCACACACTTATTAGTGAAAAGGTGTGTATATGTGAAATACTAGTGCACAGATCTTCATGTGGTACATGGAAATCATTTAGCAATACAAAATCAACAGAGGTGAAATATTAATCAGTGTCCTATCATGAATGGCTGATATGCACAGATTTTGTCTTTGATGTTATACTGTGTGATATGACGCAGGTGCCTGGCTGTTTAAAGAAGAGACCCTCCTCCCCCCCCCCCCACACGCACACACACACACACACACACACACACACAAATGATGGAACATCCGGGAAGCAGATCTCTATGGCGGACAAAAATAATAAAAAATGACGAAATTATTTTGAAATTCCTTTCTTTTGTAAATGAAGGAAATGACGATCCCACATTACAGAATATTGAAAGTACATAACAGGATATGAGATTATCTGAACGGCGCAATTGTATGAGAGAGAGAGAGAGAGAGAGAGAGAGAGAGAGAGAGAGAGAGAGAGAGAGAGGTGCTTGTGGAATTTAAAGTGCATGTATTCCATAGAAGGCAAGGTTATTTTACATATTACACTTTACAGGGGTACGGAGGTCTTCATAAAACAACAGCTAGATTCCCACTGAGATTTATATTAAGGGCAATAGAAATATCCCTGAAGCGAGAAGAAGTGTATTACAATTTATCATCATAATTTTTAATAACCTGTTTTAAAACAATGAAACCAGACTTGAATCTATAAAGATGTAGTGATCTTTATTCAGGTCCTAGTCCAATAAATGTACCATAGTTAAATGAAGAGTGGGTTATGGATACTAAGTAACTGTTCAAATAATTCAAAATCAAATTTTTGACAAACCGATTTTTCCTGTTCGCGAAGATATACATCTGAAACTCGATGACAATGTTTTTATCCTTAGAATTAACCACAACCTTGTAATTGTCTGTTTTGGCGTAAAAGATTAAATAACAAATAAAATATTGATTATTTCAATTACTTTCTCCGTCCCAATTACATGAAACTTAGAACTGAAATCGTTTTTCATCTTTTTTCAATTTGTGAGAAAAAATATGAAAATTAAAAAAGGAGAAATATCTGGTGCTTCAACCAGTTCATTGAAAGTCTTATTAACTGTCACACCTTTTCGTTGTATTTTGCATAATGTTGCTTCTGTTTACGTAGTGCCATAAACAGAAGGCTTGTCATTCTCACACACTCTTTTATTGGGTTTATTAATCAGGGGCGGATCCAGAGATATTTTCTGACAGTCTTCCAAAATATCTTTGTTGATCCATCCTCATTTTTGATCGTCTTCCGACAGAAAAAGTTTGATATCCGTCTATGTAAACTTGAAAATCTGACCGTCTTCCGGAAGACCCAGAAGACGGCCTTAATCCGCCCCTGTTAACCATTTATAATTCGCCTTTCTTTTACACTTCTGTCTGTGCTCTATTCGTAAACAAGGCGCACAGAAATTATAACGCCTCTAAAGTGCAAGCATCGTCAGTTTTCTTCTTTATCGCCACATCATCCTCACCTTCTGTTTTTCCTTCCCGAGAGCGGTCCTGTTCGACCCTTAAACGTCTTTTTGTCAGATACAAGAATAAACCACACAAGCCGCAAAGAAATGCTAAAGCAAATACCGCACCGCTTAGACCAAAGATGATCACTTCTTCACGATTAAATCTCTTAAAAATGTCTTCGTTTTTTGCATTGGTCGGAGACGTTGACGTGGCCTGCTTACGTGTATTACAACCGAACCCCGTTCGGCATGTCACATCAGAATGTGTAAACGGGCCACTTGTGACAGTGGACGAGTCCTTAGTTGTCACTGTAGAAAGTGTTAAGTCATATCTGGCAGTGGATGAAGTAGTTCTAGTCGTGGTCGTAGGATCTGGACACTGACGTTTGTAGTAATGATACCAATTGGTTGAGGTAAGATCTGTACTTGGGGTTGTTGGAACTGGAGAGCGAAGAAATTGTAGTGAAACTAAACAGCGCATAACTTGCACCACTTGCTTTATTATGAAAAGAAGAATACTTCAATGATTTTCGACGCGCACCTTTTATTTATGTGAATTTTTTAATTATATATATATATATATATTGTAAAACAGAATAAATAAATTAATTTTTTCGTTGAAAAGGAATTACCACTTGAACATATAAAAAGATATGTCAATGATTGCGAAACTGGAGAAGAGGGCAAAACATATGAGAGAGAAAAATTGAAAAAGGAAAGCTATGGAAACGGAAAAATGGCACAGGCACACTCTCACACAAGAATACCTGCGCAGAGAGCCGTTGAAATGTTGACGGTTACATCCTCCAGGTCCCCAAACGTCTTGACGGCTAACGCATGCGTGTCTACAGGATCGCTAGACAATGCTTGCAGCTCGTATGTATTGACATTGTTCCCAATACCAATGACAAACACTTCGATGCCTTGATTTTTTGCCAACACGCTGTTCTTTACAGCTCTGCAAAGTACTGGCGACAAGTCTGTTGTCATGAGCACGATGATTTTCCTTGTATTATGACGCCCACCTTGCGCGTGTGATGGATTTAGAAACGAAGAGCGCGTGTAGCTGAGAGCTCTCGAAGCTTGGCTTCCACGGAAATTATTAGCGTCGACAGTAACTGTATCAATGCTCCTCCATATGTTTCCATGAGACTGCTCACGATCAAGTGTAATAATTGCTGTGACAGACGGTATAAACGATATAACGGCGACGCTTACGTTGTTGGGACCTATGATGAAAGAAACGTTGGCTAACGTTTTGATGAAGTTTCCGATCTTTCCCGCGTCGCCTGCGACACCAGTCACGTCCAGAAGAAATGCAATGTCGGCTTCTCGAGTGACTAAAGAATTAATATTAATGTTAGTAAACTCAAAACCATAAAATGATAATGATTTAAAACAAAATTAACAACTCCTCTTCTTTAAAGACAACTTCCTTCTTTCTGTTTCATATTCAAGGTGCCACCAAAGGCAGAATTAATGCTGAAAGCGATCAAACAAAAAAATTCAGACAAAAATCGTAAAATTTTTTCCTACATCACAAATATTTGTTTACCCACCGCAGGTATTATGACCACTCTTCAATATTGTTGCTGTCAAAACGCAGAAAGCCAACGTTTTCCAAGTAAGCATGATTTGGTTTAAACACGTTTTAGGTCCAGTGCACTGTTTCCAAACGTACCAATCATGTACCAATCGTAAAAATCTTCTCATAAGTGATGCGTTAGACCATTTGCCAAAACCTTGGGTCCACAAACTGCATGGTGTGTTTACAGTGAAGTCCGGTTTACATTTGGAGAAAATGATCTGACCCTATTTCGAGCAAGATGCTCTTTGGTTTCACACTGATTCAAGCGAGACTAATCAGGGTTTTCTTTTTTTTAAAGATTACATACCATGTACATAAGATGTGATCGTTTTTTTTTTTTTTTTTTTTTTTTTCNCCCCCCCCCCCACCAACCCCCCCCCCCCCCCCCCCCCCCCCCCCACACACACACACACATAGGCCTACTGGTATGCATATGCATAAACAAACGCACACGTTTCCGCCCAAATACGTGCACACACTTACTAGTGCAAAGATACGTCTATGTGATACACACTGTATACTAGTGCACAGATCTTCATGTGGTACATGGAAATCATTTAGCACATTTATAAAATCAAAAGAGATGACCAGTCCCCTATTATGAATGGGTGATATGTACAGATTTTGGCTGTTTAAAGGAGAGCCCCCCCCCACACACACACACATACACGCACACTCACACACACACACACACACACACACACACACACACACACTACATCTTGCTAAAATGATGGAACATCCGGGAAGCAGATCTCTATGGCGGACAAAAATAATAAAAAATGGCGAAATTATTTTGAAATTCCTTTCTTTTGTAAATGAAGGAAATGACGATCCCACATTACAGAGTATTGAAAGTACATAACAGGATATGAGATTATCTGAACGGCGCAATTGTATGAGAGAGAGAGAGAGAGAGAGAGAGAGAGAGAAAGAGAGCGAGGGTGCTAGTGGAATTTAAAGTGCATGTATTCTATAGAAGGCAAGGTTATTTTAGATATTACACTTTACAGTGGTACGGAGGTCTTCATAAAACAACAGCTAGATTCCCACTGAGATTTATATTAAGGGCAATAGAAATATCCCTGAAGCGAGAAGAAGTGTATTACAATTTATCATCATACTTTTTAATAACCTGTTATAAAACAATGATACTAGCCATGATCCTGAATCTATAAAGCTGTAGTGAGCTTTATTCAGGACCTGGTCAAATTAGTGGGTTATGGAAACCAAATGTTCAAATAATTCAAAATCAAATTTTTGACAAACCGATTTTTCCTTTTCGCGAAGACATATATCTGAAACTCGAAGACAATGTTTTTATCCTTAGAATTAACCACAACCTTGTAATTGACTTTTTTGGTGTAAAAGACTAAATAACAAATAAAATATTGATTATTTCAATTACTTTCTCCGTCCCAATTACATGAAACTTAGAACTGAAACCGTTTTTCATCTTTTTTCAATTTGTGAGAAACAAAATATGAAAATTAAAAAAGGAGAAATTTCTGGTGCTTCAACCGGTTCATTGAAACTTAATAAACACTTAACGATATTTTTTATTAACTGTCACACCTTTTCGTTGTATTTTGCATAATGTTGCTTCTGCTTACGTAGTGCCATAAACAGAAAGTTTGTAATTCTTATACACTCTTTTATTGGTTTTATTAATTCGCCTTTCTTTCACTCTTCTGTCTGTGCTCTATCCGTAAACAAGGATCACAGATATTATATCGCCTCTAAAGTGCAAGCATCGTCAGTTTTCTTCTTTATCGCCACATCATCCTCACCTTCTGTTTTTCCTTCCCGAGAGCGGTCCTGTTCGACCCTTAAACGTCTTTTTGTCAGATACAAGAATAATCCACACAAACCGCAAAGAAATGCTAAAGCAAATACCGCACCGCTTAGACCAAAGATGATCACTTCTTCACGATTAAATCTCTTGAAAAGGTCTTCGTCTTTCGCATCGGTCGGAGACGTTGACGTGGCCTGCTTACGTGTACTACAACCGAGCCCGGTTCGGCTTGTTACATCAGAACGTGTAAACGGGCCACCTGTGGCAGTGAACGAGTCCGATGTTGTCACTGTAGAAAGTGTTAAGTCATATCTGGCAGTGGATGAAGTAGTTCTAGTTGTGGTCGTAGGATCCGGACACTGGCGTTTGTAGTAATTATACCATTTAGTTGTAGTACGATCTGTACTTTGGGTTGTTGGAACTGGAAAGCGAAGAAATTGTAGTGAAACTAAACAGCGCATAACTTGCACCACTTGCTTTATCAAGAAAAGAAGAATACTTCAATGATTTTCGATGCGCACCTTTTATTTATGTGAATTTTTTAATTATATATATTGTAAAACAGAATAAATAAATTAATTGATTCGCTGAAAAGGAATTACCACTTGAACATATAAAAAGATATGTAAATGATTGCGAAACTGGAGAAGAGGGCAAAACATATGAAAGAGAAAAATTGAAAAGGGAAAGCTATGGAAACGGAAAAATGCCACAGGCACACTCTCACACAAGAATACCTGCGCAGAGAGACGTTGAAATGTTGACGGTTACATCCTCCAGGTCCCCAAACGTCTGGACGGCTAACGCATGCGTGTCTACAGGATCGCTAGACAATGCTTGCAGCTCATAAATATTGACTTTGTTTCCAATGCCTATGACAAACACTTCGATACTTTGATTTTTTGCTAACACGCTGTTCTTTACAGCTCTGCAAAGTACTGGCGACAAGTCTGTTGTCATGAGCACGATGATTTTCCTTGTATTATGACGCCCACCTTGCGCGTGTGATGGATTTAGAAACGAAGAGCGCGTGTAGCTGAGAGCTCTCGAAGCTTGGCTCCCACGGAAATTATTAGCGTCAACAGTAATTGTATCAATGCTCCTCCATATGTTTCCATAAGACTGCTCACGATCCAGTGTAATAATTGCTGTGACAGACGGTATAAACGATATAACGGCGACGCTTACGTTGTTGGGACCTATGATGAAAGAATCGTTGGCTAATGTTTTGATGAAGTTTCCGATCTTTCCCGCGTCGCCTGCGACACCAGTCACGTCCAGAAGAAAGGCAATGTCGGCTTCTCGAGTGACTGAAAATTAACATTAATGATAGTAAACTTAGAACAATTTTTAAAGGTCACCCTAATTAATGATTTAAAATCAAATTAATTATTTCTCTTCATTAAAGACAAATCTCTGCTTACTCTTAGCTATCCAAGCGCCATCAAAGGCAGAATTAATACTGAAAGCGACCAAACGACCAAACGAAAAATGTCAGGAAATATCTTCAAAAAACTTTTCCAACATCATAAATATTTGTTTACCCACCGCACGCATTATGACCACTCTTCAATATTGTTGCTGTCAAAACGCAGAAAGCCAACGTTTTCCAGGTAAGCATTATTTGGTTTAAACACGTTTTAGGTCCAGTGCACTGTTTCCAAACGTACCAATCATGATCAAAAATCTTCTCATAAGTGATGCGTTAGACCACTTGCCAAAACCTTGGGTCCACAAACTGCATGGTGTGTTTACAGTGAAGTCTGGTTTACATTTGGAGAAAATGATCTGACCCTATTTCGAGCAAGATGCTCTTTGGTTTCGAACTGATTCAAGCGAGACTAATCAGGGTTTTTTTGTTTCAGATTACATACCATGTACATAAGATGTGATCGTTTTTTTCTTTTCTTTTCTTTTTTTTTTTTTTTTTTTTTTTTTTTTTTTTTTTT